GTCCCAGCGAGGGGGGCAGCGAAAGGTACCCCCCCCTAGGGTTTTTGTTCAGGAGACTGTTTCCTCTTGTTTGGTGGAGAATCACCCCTTAGGCTGACCCTCAGGCCTGCCCTGAAAATACGACCAAGGGAGCACGGAAGGGGGAAGGCAAACCCTGGCTGAGTGGGGCTGATTACCCCAGGCCTGCCATCACAACAGGGGGAAACTCTAAGTCTGGCAAAAGAAAAGAGGTGCCTTGCCACAACTTTAAGAATGGCCATACTGGGTCAAACCAATGGTCCATCTAGCCCAGCATCCTGTCTTCTGACAGTGGCCAATGCCAGGTGCTTCCTAGGGAATGAACGGAACAGATAATCCTCACGTGATCCATCCCCTGTCTCCCATTCCCAGCTTCTGGCAATAATGTACTGAGTTCGCATATCTGTCACTACCCTCCCACAGCACATGCCCCATTGCCCAGTACACCATAGAATGCCTTACTATGCTGCTTCTTACTGTGTCACATTTTACTGGATGTACCCTACAAAGGTTGTATGCTTTAACAGTACTTATGGGCACTTCGTTAAAAGCTGTTAAAATCAATTTACTATAGATAGGAGCATCTCTAATGCATCACTGGTGACCACCTCATTATCTGACATGTCCTCCTATCTATGGACCTACATCCTATACTGGATAAATGCTGATATATCCGTTTTTTTTCCTCTCTCACTACTGTGACTTTTGTAATACACTTGCAATGCTGATGAATACTAGTTGATAGTCTGATACCACATTTAAAATATATATAATATGCGTGCGTACGTGTGTTTGTGTTTTTGTAATGGTTTACAACTCAGTTTAAAGAGGACTCAGATACTTCTCCCTGTTAAAAGACTATTTGAAACAAGGTAGTAATCTGTTGATTCTGAGGCATGAGACACTTTACAGTTGTAAATCCATTAAAAAATATTAGGCTATATTTTAAAAAGAATATTTGTTTAATGGACAGACATTGAACTTGAAAAATATTTGTTTAAACAGAACATTGTATTAAACTTTTTCATCTTTCACTACCCAGGCTCCGATGGCTCTGTTTTATCCAGCAACTTTTGGAATTGTTGGGCAGAAAATGACATCTTTGCAACACAGGTCACAAGGTGACCCAGAGGATCCTCATGATGAACATTATCTATTAGCTACCCAAAGTAAACAAGAGCAGGTGTGTTAATGTTTAGTTTTTACAGAAAACTACCATTTACCCAGGAGTTAATATAATTATTACCTGTGTGTGTTTCTCCCACCATTGAAAAGAAGCCATCTCTAAGTTGAGAGATGTCAGCTGTTCTGTGGCCAAAGCATTACAGAACAGGTTTTAGGCAGGGAAGTGAAGAATAACTTGTCCAGTAGAGACAACGGAGGCAGCTTATGTAGGCCAAAATGTAATTGCCCACCTTAGAATTTGGCCAGAACACTGAAGCTAACGCAGTTTTGCAGAAATTGCCATGGAGTTTTTACCAACTACACCTACTCAGGATCTCTGTCTTTACATCTCATCTGAAAGGCAGCATCTTTAGCATGCTTTTTAATAATTATAGAAGGTTAGTTTTGTAATTATATGCTAAATGTCACTCTTGGCCTGAGTAATGGAGACATTCAGCACATCTTTTTGTAGTAAATGAAATCTCTCAATTTGCATTTCTTTTTCACAAAGACTTATTAAAAAACCTGTTTACAGTGAATTATGAATAATTTAAATTATTATACAGCACTTGGAGCACTTCATAAATATTAAGTAATGGGAATAATTAAAAATGTGCACAAATCCTTTAACTACTGTAAAACTTATATGGGGTAAAAAAATTAACTGATTTGTAACAAGCAAATGTATAGGATTTTGTATCAATTTAAGGCAAATCTACAGAGGTTTTGTACTATTAAAACTATATGGGTTTAGAAAATATAATGGGAATAATGACTTGTCTACACTTATCAGAGGGGTAGCCGTATTAGTCTGAATCTGTAAAAAGTAACAGAGGTTCCTGTGGCACCTTTAAGACTAACAGAAGTATAGGGAGCATAAGCTTTC